TTTTTTTTTTTTTTTTTTTTTTTTTTTTTTTTTTTTTTTTTTTTTTTTTTTTTTGTAATTCTATGGTCTTCGATCGTCGGCACTTTCAGTGTTGCGAGAATTCGTTATTGTTCATATTGAATACGGCATAGCTCTTACTGTGATAGGGGTGATCGCAAACGGCGCTGTTTATCATTGCTTGATCGTATAAATACAATGCCTCATTTGTTGGAAATATTTACCCTGGTTTATGCTGGAGGTCATTTTTTTTTTTTTTTTTTGGAGCTTTATTTTCGATTATTTTGCAAAAGAAAGAGATTCAAGGAGCCCACGTTGTCTCCTCTCGATTGTTCGGATGTTACGCGTAAATTTTCAAAGTTGGCCAGTCTACGTAAGCTGTTCTGCTGGAAAAGGATTATTTGGTTGAAAAAAAAAAAAAAAGGGAGAAGTTGTTTTTATATGTTTATATGTTTTTTGTATGAATATAGAGAGATATTGTATACTTTTTTTTTTAATTAAATAACTTCTGGTAATTTTGCAGCGTAGAATCCAATTGTTCTAGAAAATAACAATGAAAAAAAAAAAAAAAAAAAACCAACAAATGTAGATAAATTCGACTGGTGTGTACATTAAAAACAAATAGGTATTAAGTATTTTAATTTTTGTTGAGCACTGAGTGTTATTTTTTGACTATGTATGAGCACGCACGTTGAGAAGATTTCAAAAATTGTTACAAACCTTAAGTAAAAGTTATTTACTTTATCCATTGGTGTAATAAACTTAAGAAACCACAAGTAAATTATAATTAAATAAGATCTGATTATTTAATGATTAAATGCATTAGAGTTTTTTTTTTACATAAGTGACTATTTGATTACTTATAATTTACTTTGCTCAACAAATAAATTTTGGTGTATTATTTTGAAATGATTGACAATTTCTATTGATTTTTGGATTATTTTTCAAACCAGGGTAGATTTGCAACATACTCTCATTACTCAGATTGATATTATTATTCAAACGAATAAAAGTTTCATAGTAAACTATAGTATAAAATATCAACAGCAACAAAATTAAGTTTTAGATACTAAAAATGAAAAGTAAAAGAAAAAAAAAAAAATAGAAAAATTGCGCATGAAATTATCGTATTGTTTTAGCTTGAACAGCTATAAAAGAATGTGAGTTTTTGTTAAGTACTCGAGTCACACAACAAATACACGATTGAACGTTGCCATTTTTTTCGTCCTATTTTTACAGGCTACATAGGAGCGATTCTTTCTTACTTTTTTCTACTCTGTTAAATCCTCTTGCTCTTTTTTTTTGTACATGAGAGTTACCGACGGTGTATATTTTTAAGTATCTATTCGTTTTACAACGAATTGTATTAAGCGTGTACATGTATAGTGAAAATAGAATGCAAAAAAAACAAGATAATTTTTGTGCGCGACTTGCGAGGTATAAAAACAAAAGTGTGCTTACAAGTTTGTATGATAAACACATTGTGTACATTATATACATAGATATTTATATACGTGTAATTATTATTTTAATGACAATTGCGCGTAGACGTCCACAGCGGATGAATTTCTTTATACAAAAAGATTACTCTCACCAAAGTACATGTATGTGAATAATAAATAGGATGAACGCTGGAATGAAAAAATGAATTTGTTATCGTTGTTGTTATTGTTGTTGTTGTTGCTGTTGTTGTTGTTGTTGTTGTTGTTGTTGTTGCTACATTGACATGAACAAATCGAAAAGTGATTAACATAAATAAATGTATACAACAAAGTTTTTTTTTTTTTTTAGCAAAATGCTTTTTTGTAAACGTGTGTATGTATGCGTAAATACACAGAACAAGGAAACAAAACACATAAATTTAGCATATTCACTGACATGTGATATGAATTTATATAGGCGTGCGTGTACACTCAAACGTTTGCACAAGCGTGCGTGTGCGCGTGTCTTTGCGTATTTATAATTATTCACTAGAGGAAAGCAAATTATCCACATGGCTGTGAAAAGTGAACTATAATGTACCTAAGGTGCTTAGTTGATATATCATGTTGTCAAATGTATATAACTGAATAATACATCGATGTAAAAATAATATGTAAATTGAAAGTAAGTTATTGCCTTATAAATGTAACAGTCAATTAAACTTGTACCTTTTGAATTTTTGCTGTTTTTATATTTTGCACAACAACCTTTCTTAACCACCGAATGAGGGTACGAATACAGTACAATATTAATTAATACTTTAATTAACTTGAAAAAATTCTGAAAATTGCGTTTATTAATATTTATTTACTTGCGACACTTTTTACATACCTTTTACGGATCAACTTAAAATTGAAATTTCAACTATAACAATCAATAAGAGCTGTATCAACTCATGGATCGTGACCAGATAAGAATTTCGACATGAAATCATTTGGCTTTGGTTGTACAGTATCTCTGAAATAGTACATCAAACTTCCCTTATTTTTCCATCGTTCTACCACCTCTTTTAGCTCCATTTGTCCCTAAAATATAAAAGCATCAAATTAAACTTCATGTATTATGAACATACTAGTATAATCATTATAGTTAAAAAAAGTTTGAAATGAATAATCTTTTGGTATTCAATTAAACGATCAACTAATTTTAATACCAAGTGATTATGAAAAAACAAAAAACTGTAAAACTATACGATAAAGTACACTATCTAGTTTATTATAAATAACATACCTTTATTACAAGCATATCAATGGTTCTGATGTCCTTTACATGTGCATTCTTCAAAAATTCTGACCTTATTTTCTCTCTTAACTCTTCCTTACCTTTAGGGATATCATAATCCTCCACTGAAATGAAAAGAATTATTAGACTGTTGTTTACTAATGAAAACTATTTGATTGTACTAAAAGTGTCAATGAACTACAACAAAAGTTCTTGATAAATGGCACATCATTTTATCTCATACATTACAAATACTTTGAATAAATCCGTATAAGCCTAATAACCATTAATAACGACTGTTGAAGTAACTATGAACCGAGTAAACAATTTATTTGCAAGCACTAAAGCCAAAATACACTGACGTTACATAAAAATCGACGTACGCAATTTGAGGTTAAGTACCAACGTCACTCAAGAATTTTTTCACAAGAACTAATTGTTTTGCACCGAACGAGCACTCACCGATAAATGGCACTTGTCTAATCCACAATTTATACAAATTCAAGACTCTTCTGCGAGCTTCCTCTGGACGTAACGACAATAGTGGTTTTACTGTGCGAGTAACAGTGGTTTTAATGGGTGTCGCCATTTTTGTTTCTCTTTAGTCCTCCCCTTGCAAGCTGCTGGAGCTTGCAAGCTTTTTAAAGTTGCCACTTCTTGTCATTGAAAAATTCTAAAAGCTCGCGTTAAAATTAATAGTGTCGTATACTTTAATCACTTCATGGTTTGAAATTAATAAGTTTTTCACGAAGATCACTTCATTTTGAGTAATTATTATGCTTACTTATCTCCCACGTTATACATGACATCAATAAACATAGCAAACGAAGGTCGAGATTAAAATATCCATTTTAACTTTTATAAAATTTCACTACACAAATTTCCCGCGAGCGATCAAAGCTTTTGGTGATTGGCGCTAGATAGAACTACGGCCGCGTGACTCGATTCCCCTTTCCGTTCCCCCACCCCGGCCCTGACACCGACGACGACCACCGTGATTGTTCAGCTTTTGATCGACCAGACGAATTTTCTGTCCGCCTCTTTCGGTCGTGGTACAACACGCAAACATGGTCGCGGTAAGATATTTTCTCGAAGAAAATTGGTGTCAATCACGTCTTCTTTGCCGATTCTTGAATAAATTTAATTAAGAACATGATCCGGATATACTGCTCTTTTAATCGCAACCGTAACTCTATTTATATGTATCGCGATGTCCTTGATTAAAACAGATTTGTCACTAGTTCGCGACACTCACCTAACCTCGAGTCATCATCAACAATCCTTGAGTGCCACAGAGAGTTTCTGAAATTTTTACATAATTAATCAATTAGTATTGTTTTGCAGTGGTCATGTGAAAGTTTGTCAAAGAGCCCAACATATTTGTTGGATTTTCTAATAGTTTACGTTGTCTCTGAAAAGATATCGCGTTAAAATACCTGACGGCGTCTTTAACTAGCTCTTGTGGTACGATATTACTGTAGTGTCAAACATTGATAGTTGTGATGTTTACTTTTAGGTCACGAAAAAGGCCAATGTGCCCAAACAGGCATCATCCAGCAAAAAGCAACACCTCCGAGGTAAAAACCAAAAGAAGAAGGTGTCGCTGAAATTCACCATTGACTGCACACATCCAGCTGAAGACAACATCATGGACGTTGTCAACTTTGTGAGTAAATTTACATTACACGTGTTTCTTTATCTATACATAATCTAATAGATACACTAGGTTCGTTTGAACGAAGTCATCGTAGTGCAAACCATATATTAATTTAAATTTTCATATCACAACTTGTGAGGTGGTTGTTTTGTAATTTTGTTTTCTTCAAATTTAAAAACTTAATTTATTGTTTAAATATTTTATCCATTGTAACGACAGCCGATGAGTTGCAATTACAATCAACGAAGTTTATGTACATCATAATGACACTAAATTTTTTACAGGAAAAGTACCTCTCTGAAAGGATCAAGGTCAATGGTAAATTGAGCAACCTTGGTAATAACGTCACGATTGAGAGGAACAAGAATAAGTTGACAGTCAACAGTGACATTGACTTCTCCAAGAGGTGGGTAATCTACAATTATTCATGATAATGCCGCTTTTTTTTTTTTTTTTTTAACAGCAGTTAGTGTAGTAAAAAAAAAAAAAATACAAGCTGCACACAAGAACGATATTTGCACTAAACCCTCAAAAACGTGTATTTTTAGGTATCTGAAGTACTTAACGAAAAAGTACTTGAAAAAGAACAAGCTTCGTGATTGGCTCCGGGTGGTCTCCAAAGACAAGGATACTTATGAACTCCGTTACTTCCAAATTAACAGTCAGGAAGATGAAGATGAAGAAGATGTGGAGTAAATTAGGTATTATTATTTGCTCTAAATTCCATCTGTATATATTTTGAATATCAATAAATGCCTGAAATTTTACGCACTTTGCTTCATTTTACCTTGTCCTTTATTTGTTAATATCACTATTTGGGTCTAGAAACTTACAATTATAAGTTTAATTTTTTAACACCTAACTATATGAGCATACCAATGTCGCAGCTACTTCTGTGTGAAATTTGTATTTGACTTTGTTGTTTACTAATATTTAGAGTTTTGGATTTTGCCTTAATGATTACTCAGTGATTTTTCATTGTTGTTTTATATCTCAAAACGTGTTGATTAACATATATTACCATAATTCAAAGGTTATTTTTGGATTCGTATAATGTGGGAGCAAGTCACAGCAAGTAATACAACTTTCCAATCGTAGTTTTTCAGTGAGTAAAATTATAACGACTAAGTACATGATCGCAAGTAAAAACAATGCAATAACGTGCAGTGTTGCAACGAAAAAAAAATTTCTAATTTTTGTAACATTACGTGTAACGGGTAGGTAATGATGACGGTAAGTATCGGTGACTCTGGTGACGGACATGCAGTGCGCATTGCGTTGTCTGCGTTCGATTACATTAATCTAAACAAAAAGAAAGAGAAACAATTAAACTCACAGGTTGGCCCTCTGACGCTAGCTTCGCGCAGTTCGCAGTCTTCTGATCTCAGCGTTGGATCTGCAGTCTTGTAGTTGAGTTGTGTCAATGTTGTCATTATTGTGAAGCCAAGGCGTGACGGACTTCTTAAAGAAAAAACATCGTAGTTGTTTTTGTTTAGATATACCCATCCCAATACGTTATTATCAACTGGAAAGAGTTACGATAAACTTGTATAAATAAAGGCACACCACACAATATAGTAGTTGTACACAAAGCATAAAACACACACACACATATATAGACCGAGAGCAGCAGAGCAGTAGTGCGCAGTTTTTCTGCGTTGACTCTCTCTTCTCGCCGACGACGAGTTGAGTTGATAGGATAGGTGGTGGGATAGCAGTAGTAGTCGCTCGAGCAACGTACTGAAAGGGTACAAAGCGGCGCCATGAAGTTTGTGTACAAAGAGGAGCATCCGTTCGAGAAGAGGAAGGCCGAGGGCGAGAAGATTAGGAGAAAATATCCCGACCGGGTGCCCGTGAGTACATTCATGCCCATACCACATTCTACGATAGACCTATATAATATCCTGCTCCGAAATGGAAACTCGTCTGTCCATTTTGTGGTTGTTGTTGTTTCATTTGTCAATGTCTTCACCTTCGTTGTTGTGGTAGCAACAACATCCGGATGTCAAAAACAGGTGCGATTAGCAAGAAATAGATAAACTGACGAAGGAAAATAAAATTAAAGAAGTGTACACAGAGTCGCAAGGTCGAGCACAAAGACTCAAGTGCGGAAGCGAGAAAGAGACAGAGGCCGAGGTGCTGCTGTCTTCGGGAGTGACGTCGTCTTCTGCGTCGCATTGTATAGCCTTCCCGATTCCCGTCTAATACGGATGGCTCAGCTGCGCTGCATCGCTAAAAGCCATCGCCACTCTTTTGTCCCTTTAAAAATCCCATTCTATCATCTAATTACGCCTCAAATGGTCGTTCAAGGATCCAAGCGTCATCGGGTCAGGTGTTTTGCAGACGATTTGTGGTGATCCTCACAATAACGCAAATCTTGTATATATATATATGACTCGCGTCACGATCGTGTCAGTTTTTTTTTTGCGCTCGTGAGTGCGTCTGTCATGCAGTGACCAAAACACAAGCGCGATATATACAGCTATCTTTTCCGCTCCTTTTTGTTTCTCTCTCTCTCTCTCTAAATATTTTCGATCCACTGAATTGCTATAAACAATAAATAAGTACTTAGATGTGTATACATGTATATTTTAGAAATCCGAGCACATCAACATTTTTACAAACGTATACACGCACACTCGAGTAAGCAAAAGTGTTGCTATATATCTATATGTTATTGATTCGAGGCTCTCTCTTCGTTGCTTTTGGCTCCGTTGTATACTTTATATATATTCTCTCTTTTATCCCCCTCTTTTAGGTAGATTATATACCTGTATGGGTACAAACATTATTCACCTACACGTTGAATAAACGATGAAATTATTTTTTATTCCTTCTCATCGTCGTTGAACATTCTCGACGTGTGCATTTATAAATATACGTACAACAATACTCGCACACATGAAATTTTATTTGTCCCGCTCTTACCAACTGACTCTTTTTTTTCCGTTTCTCTCTCTCTCGTCTTTTTTTTGTTCTTAGTTATCATCATCATTTCCCTCTCGAATGACGTACCGTATATAGTCAATTATCTCTTTCTCGGTCCTCATTGCTCGTTTTATATACATCTTCGAGCTCTCATTGAATTATTCTCTTGTCTTTTTTTTCATCCTGTACCTATACAATAAAATGCATAGCAACGCCAAGCACGTTCGTTTGCAAGAAAAAAAAAAACCAATAGAAGCCATTCGTACATTGTTTGGTATGCATAGTGAATTTAGTGAAATCTACTCGCGATTAAATTCAAGTTTTTCTTTGTATACCAGCCAAATGGTGTACTTACAAAAAAATATTTTCCAAACGAAATCAGACCACACGCGCCTATGGGCAACGATGACGAATCGCGAAATCTTTTTTGGGTGATGAAAGAAAAAAAAAACATATAATTGGTCTTTTCGCTTCAGTTAGGAGTGCATGTATTTTATAGGCTTGGGTATACTACTAATAACTCGCTTCAATCTACTTACGGTGGCAGCCAATAAGTGATGGGAAGAAAAAATTACGTTACAGAGGTCGTTTCAGACACCTCGTGTCAATAAAGTCATTGTGCGTTGCAAAAATGTTTAATCGCAAACGTTCTATTATCGCGAAAGTGAACGCATTTCTAATGGACTTTCCACAGTAACGACGAGTCAGCTGTTGCATATGCATATATACGTACAATCGTTTTAACTGTGTGTACATAACAACGGTGACGAGGCTTGTTTTCGTGCCTTTGGATTTTCACAAGATTTGCATTTGTGGTGAAAAATCATCGTTGAATCGTCCCAGAAAGTATGTTTACTTACTTTAACCGGCTGTTGCGTGAAAGTAACTCAATTATTATTCAATTGTTTGCGATAGCGAGTGCGTAACTTCCTTATCGGAAGTACTTGCGTGCCAAAATCGGCTTCCCCATATTTCTCAAAAGTAATCGTTACGATTTTTTTTTTTTTCATGTAAGTTATCGAGCGCTTTTCCGACCATTTTTCTTTGCAAACGGAGTTGATTGCGTTGATAAAAAGCGATATCGCCACGATAAAAGTATGTACGTATAGGTGTGACACACATTATGCCACCGGTTGTATTATTTTCCATCGCACAAGTTCAATGACACTTGCTCGATTTGTTATTTCATTGTCGGTGCATGCAAAGATAATAACAATGTTCCAAAGTCTACGAAAACAAACGTTGACACGTTCCATATATGTAAAAAGTTGGCAAACGGAAATTAACCTCTTGTTTTCTGTCCTCAGGTAATCGTCGAGAAGGCACCGAAGGCGAAAATCAGCGATTTGGATAAACAAAAGTACCTCGTACCGTCCGATCTGACCGTCGGTCAGTTCTACTTTTTGATCCGCAAGCGAATCCACCTGCGCGCGGAGGACGCGCTGTTCTTTTTTGTAAATAACATCATTCCACCCACCAGTGCGACAATGGGCTCCCTTTACCAGGTAACTTCGCCAAGGGCCCTACACCGTCGCGTTTGACATTTTTTTTTTTTTTTCTTTTTAAATTTATTTTTACGGTTCACGTACACATCTAAAATGTAGTCGAGCACGACGCTGTCTCCTTCTTTTTCACGAATTCATTTTTCGACTTCTCTGGCCAATGGCCATATACACTCTCGGCGGTTTTGGCAGTTACGCAATAACCTTGTCGCTGTCAGCTGCGGTATTGAATTTGCGGAGAAGCAACGCGTTTGATTGTTTGTGATATTTTTAAGCTTTTTCACAATACGCTTCAAGTGTACAGCTAAGTATATTTTGTGAAACCGACGACTAAGACGAATAATTTTTTTATTTTCCAGGAACATCACGAAGAGGACTTTTTCCTGTACATTGCCTACAGCGACGAAAACGTGTACGGCCACTAAATGTATTACCAACAATTTGCGATGAAAAAAAGGAGAAAATGTTAAAAAAAAAAAAACAAAAAAAAAACAAAAATAAAACAAAAAAAATGATAACATTTAAAATACACAATAAAGGTCTACTACCAACACTGTAGTGTTTATAGGCGCTTCAGAGGAAATTGTGGGAAAAAATAAATGCTGTCGTTACGAGTGTTTGAAATTTCTTCATTTTGGGTTAATTTTGCCTGTTTGCTGAGATAAACGTTTTAGTGTTATCTTGTTTCTCTATTTTTCTTTTCTTTTTTTTTTTGTAATTCATACATTATACACGTACTCTATCGAGTCTATTGAGTTGCGTTGCTTTCTGAAATGTTAAATTAAGTGTGTGAAGCGAAAAAATACAAAAAAAAAAAAAAAAAAAAATCAACTAGTAATGTTGGTTGAATGAGTTGCAATGCAATCATACCAGCGGTGTGAGAAAAAAAACTTGTCAAAACGTCAAAAAAAAATATACTGTGACATCACTATTACTTGTAATTACTGGCGTATATGTTGTCATCATTATTATAATTATTACCATTATTATTATTATTNAGCACCTACGGAGTGAGCGGCCAGCTCTGGAAGTACGCGGCCCGCGCGGCCTCCTCGACCATCATGGCCAGCATAGGCGGTGGCGTCGTCGGCCTCGGCTTCAGTCTCACCAATCCCAAGGGCATCGACATACTCAGCCAGATAAACGGGATTCTTGGTAACCGGGCTGCAAACTTTTCTTTTCTTTTCTTTTTTTTTTTTTTTTTTTGGGTGTGTGTCTACTTGCTAAAAAGTTGCAACAGAGTCATTATTAATTATGGAATAACGTTGATTTTCGTGTTTCAGTCGCATTCGAATCTTTGTAATTTTTATTATACTTTAACATTGTAAACTAACAAGTCAAAAAGAAAAAAATCGAAAAAACCCATCTGGACAAATTAATATATGTGAATTTCCTTAAGTTAAACTGTAGACATATTAATATATATACATATATTCTGAAATTGAAACAAATCGGGGATAAGAAAGTCCATGTAAACGGCTGGTTGTGGGCCAATAAAAAAAAATTTGAAAAACTCGAAAAACAACGCTTTGGTCTTTATTCCACGTGTATACCTGCGCACATCGAGACAAATCGAGAGAGAGGCTACATATGCAAATAACGTTCGAGGAAGGAAAGAGAGAAAAAAAAAATAGTAACATTTACAAATGTTGACTCTATGTTCCGCTCTGGTAATCGTCAAGCCATTAAATACGATAAATGATCTCTGATACACACGATTTCCCATGGCAACTGACTGCCGATGGGTATCGATTTCAGTATAACATTTGTTGAAATTTAAAGATCGTTGTTGCGCGATACACGTGCAAACATACACGATTGCTCCTAATCACTTTTATTTCAACGTTTCCCCGGCGTTTCACGAGGGACACAGTGAGTGTGTGTCTGTGTTTCGGAGCATCTCCCCAACGTCCATCACCGACGTGCCGAACACGCAAACGCGCTGAAATTGCACGATGAGACACACTTAAACTTGTACTTCGTGGACCTTAAATAATTAATTTGTTTGTCTCGAGAAGTCACGACATCATACTCTTTACCTTCCGCGTCAGTTGTTTCCCAGAAGTGCATACAAGCGTTGGCTCGATCACCGTGATAAAAAAAAAAAAAAAAAAAAAAAAAGGTGCCTTTTTCTTGAGTGATAAGCAAAGACAGACAGGCATCATCATGGATTTACAGCAGTACGACGACAATTCAACAATGAATCTCACAGTCACGCCTACCTACTACGTCGCCTCGACTTACCAGCTTACCAAAGAGGACAGCTGCTGGATCGTCTCGAACGCTTTTATTATATTGACGATGCAAACAGGTAACGTGAGCACATATACCTACACAACTAGCAATGTCATTAACGATCAAAAAAAAAAAAACAAAAACAAAACCCAAGTCGTCACGTGTGACAACACATACTACGCAAAGAGAGGGAAAAAAAAAAAGGAAATGTATTTTTCTAAAAGGTTTCGGGATGCTCGAGTCGGGCTGCGTGTCCCTGAAGAACGAGGTCAACATAATGATGAAGAACGTCGTGGACATAGTGCTGGGCGGCCTGACCTACTGGATATTCGGCTTCGGCATAAGCTTCGGGCTCAACGAGCCGAACAACCCGATTGTCGGCTCGGGCGGTTACATGATCGACCCGTCGATCGACGACCCGCTTTTCGGGCCCGTTTGCGCGTCCTTTGTCTTTCAGCTCAGCTTCGCCACCACGGCCACGACCATCGTCAGCGGAGCCATGGCCGAACGGTATATCCTCTACATACATATATACATCTCTTTTTTTTCAGATGATTATAGTTTTCGGCTATGAATATATAATGCTTTGTGTGTGGGAGCAGATGTAACTTCAGGGCCTACTGTCTCTTTTCGTTTCTGAACACCATAGTGTATTGCCTGCCGGCCGGGTGGGTGTGGGGAGACCACGGTTTTTTGAAGAACATCGGCGCCGTCGACATAGCCGGCTCGGGGACTGTTCACCTCGTCGGTGGGGTGTCCGGTAAATCATCGCCGTCGGATATATGTATATCGGCCTGCACTTGCTTTGTAACGATTTTCTCGTGTTTTTCACCAGGCTTGTTGAAGTTTTTTTTTCTTCCGCTTTGTGGTAACCTACAAAAAATGCCTCCCTCGGCAGTTACAAAGTTTGATATTACAAAGGCAAAGAGGGCACGCTCTTCCGATCGGTGAAAAAGAACTTTAGATTTTTTATGCATCGAGACTTTCAAGTGCACGGCTTTTCATCGGTGTTATCTTTTTTTTTTTTTTTATGACTTTTTCACCCACTCCAACCATCCATGTATATATATACATGTACATACATATACGTGTAGGAAATAATGCTTACAACTTGTATTCAAGTGTCGTACATCGTTACATATTAGATAATCCTTTATTTTTTTTTTTTTTTAAGTGCAC